TCATAATCATAATCATAATCATAATCATCATCATCATCATCATCATCATCATCATCACCACCATCATCAACATCATCATCATCATCAGTTAATTTAATTACTACTTAGAGAGTTTCTAGTTAGTACTTTCTAATTATCGCAAACGAAAGAAGAAGGACAAACAAAAAAGGGGTGGGGGGGAAAAAAAAGAAATATACGTTCACACATTTTCCTCTGTACGTTTTTCTTTTTTTCTCCTCGTTTCAAAGCAGTTGGAGCATTTCTCGATTTCCTTCTCACACATACATGTCTCTCTCTCTCTATATATATAATATATAATATATATATATATATATGTTCATAATTCGTGTATATAAATATATAACCATATATGTGTATATAGCATATGTATATATATATATATACAATACATTATATATATATTTATATATTTATATATATCTTCTTTCCTTGCCAACGAAATGGATCGATACGGAATAAATTAGGCGCTAAATAAATAGAACGGATCACTACGGTTTTTTTTTTTTTTTTTTTTTCTCTCGTTTCTCGTTTCAAGGAGATTCATCCACACTCGCTTCATTCCCATTCTTCTTTCTTTCTAATAATTATTCACCATCCCCTGGTTTTCTTCACCGTCTTCGCGAAGTTCCATTTCACACGCCATTAATTGGTAAAATCGATAACACGCGGCGTTAGAAATCGTTAGTAGTTGTTGCCGTTCCAACTGCTAACACGACGCTGATGACGACGCATCGCCAGTGACAATTTATTTCCCTTCCGAGTCTCTCTCTCTCTCTCTCTCTCTCTCTCTCTCTCTCTCGATCCGTCGTAACGACAACTTGTCATGCCGATTTGCTTTCGTTATACTCGAGAGGCGAACTCGCGCGTTCTGAACACGTTGCCCTTTCTTCTTCTTCTTCTTCTTCTTTCACTAAGAGTAAAGATTATTCGCGAGGAATAATAATAATGATTACCGGTAATAAAACAGAAGGAGGGTTTCATCCCTCTCAGGTCGGTGCGCTCCTCTCGCTTTCCGTTCTTCGTTTCTCTTCTTCTTCTTCTTCTTCTTCTTCTTATTCTTATTCTCGTGCAGCTGAACAAGTGCACCAGCTGCCGTAAAGAAGTATCGCGTGTGTCGTTTAATAATAGGGTCAGTACCTAAACCAGTCTGGCCACGCTATTCTAAATTACCAATATATTATATAATAATATAATATAATAGATCAATATATGTATATATATGTATTGTACATATACATATATTTATACATACATACATATATATAGATATATATAATATCAATTTAAATGAACATTCTTGATCAAGCTATACTGGTTTATTTTTTCCTTCTGTTTTTTTCTTTCACTCCTCTCTCTCTCTCTCTCTCTCTGTCACTCTTGCAATCTTTCACTCGTTCTTCAAACACTCACTCTCTTCTCTCTTCCTCTCTCTTTCCATATATATATATATATATATATATATGGAAAGTTTCTATCATCTCGTGTAATCGTTCCATTTTTATTTCTGTTTGTTTGTTTTCTTGCCTTTTAATATAGTTTGTTATTAATATATAGTTTGTTCGTTTTGTCAGCTGTTCAATAATCGTCGTTCACCCCTTCGTCCCTCGGCTTCTTACTCGCCGTCGTCCTCGTCATTCCTCGGATAATTGATAATCCTTAATAATGCAAAAATACTAGTTAAATCCCTGTACATGAAAATCTTGATGCAGTGTACGCGTGGTGTGTTTCTGTTCCTTTCTATCTCGCGTGTGTGTGTGCGTGTTCCTTTCTATTCGTGTGTGTGTGTTCACAAATGCTACGCCGTCGCTGCACATTCGATGTGTGTGTGTTAATACGTGAACGTATGCGCGTGTTATGTGTGTGTGTG